AAACAGTGCAGACGGAAAAAGGTGTCAGACAAACCCTAAACCACTGCTAGTTTTGATGTTTTGGGTTGTGAATAGATCTCGAGGGTTCAAGTTCAATTGGCAAGGGTGCTTCTTCTCATGTAGCTGTTTGTCAAGGGCGGCTCTATAGAAGGTTTCCTATAAACAGAGCTCCTATAAAGCTTCTAATTCTAAATGCATTCCTGCTTTTCTGGTTTGGTACCCCTGGTTTGTGTTTGCCGAAGGGCCGCTTCCAAGCAACAGAGGGGCCTTAGTAATTAAGATAGGTTTCCTTTGGAAGGGTCCCTCTCAGGGTTACTGTAAGGGATACTATAAGGGTGTAGCATGGGCCTTGATCATTAGAATGGGGTTTGGGGTGTATTGCAAACATAACTACAATGGGGAATCTATAAAAGAATTTTGGTAATTATTTAGGCCCCATTGTTTAAGTTGCTCTCAGGCATGCTGCAAAGAGAAGCACCCCACACCCGGTTTAGAGTCTAGAGTTTGGGGATTTTTTTTGAAGTTATAGAGCCTAAATAAGTACTGGCCCCTTATAATCAGTATATACTATACCAGGAGCCCAAAACCCTATTCTAATTATAAAGGCCCCTGCATTAGGCTTTTGGAGCACCCCATGGGGATTGCGCTTCGTCCCGTTGCTGGAACCTTCCAGATCAACGGATGCTCTAATAATGAATCAAGCCTCCCATACTAGACCCTTATAGTATCCCTTATAGTATAATATTAATAATTAAGGCTCCCATACTAGACCCTTTATAGTATCCCTTATAGTCAAACCCTTTCAAAGGAACCCTATTCTTGTCAACCGACCCTATGCATGTGTCTTCATACAGCTGTTTGTCACCCGGGGAGGGTGCATGATGCGAGCATCCAACAGCCAACCCTCGGCCAGAGGAAGCCTGACGAAACATGTGCTACAGTAGGGGCTTTGGCCCAAATGGGACTTTCCGAAAATTAGGGGCACCTTATTTTGGGATCCTTCATAATAAGGATCCTACTATCTAGGGGGTACTACATTAGGGTCCCCTATTTTCGGAAACCCCCAAATTGCCAGGATCAATGAGGTTCTCCTGGTCGGAGGCATGACCCGCATGCCCAAGGCGCTCTCAGAAGCTGCTTGCAACATCTAATTATGGTTTAGGGTTTAGGGTTTCGGGTTTAGAATCTAATTACACTTTTGCTATCCTCCACCCAGCTGTGACTTACCTCTGGCATTGAGGATTTCCATGCTAACCCGAAGAGCCAGATACCGCCTTCATTACATGGACTTGTTATTTTGATTCAGGGCTTTTAAATGCTTCCTTATATTAATTAAAGGGGCTCTCTAGGAACATGCTTCTTAATTGCAGGTCACCGAGCTGGTGCGATCGATTTATGGCGCAGGGCTGAGCTTTTTTCTATTCCTCTTTTGTGGTTATGTCTCGAAGGAGGTGGAGAGGCTGTATGATGTGAGGTCAGCAGGATAGTGGGTAATGGTGAGGACTGAGCCAGCTGTTCTGTGACCCTAAACCCTAAACCCTAAACCCTTACCAGGAACCTCGCCAAGGTAAGTCCGAGAGTGAGTGCTGAAACCCTAAACCCTAAACCCATGACACAGGAGCCCTTCCACCGCCGAAATCCGAACTTTCGCATCTTCCTGTGCCTTTTAAGTCCTCCCAGCAGCGACTTGCACCATGAACCGGTTAATGTAGGGGCCTTAATAATTAGAATAGGGTTTTGGGGATAATATACTATAATTATAATAAGGAACCCCCAAAACCAACCCTATTCTAATTATTAAGGCCCCTACATTAGCATTGGGGGATTGGGGGAAAGCACCCACCAGTCTATCAGCGGCTTTCAAAACCGCCAGGCTATCAGGCTATCTGAACCTTATAGAGTTGTAGCAGTCTAGCTTTTCGAGGCTGCTGCATACAGCACGTTTTCCATATATCTCATCAGCGGTGACAGATCCCGCTCCGCCCGAGTTCTTGCTATGCCATGTCGGAGGACGGGGAGGCCTCCACGCACCCGGTACCCCCAGAGATCTGGGCCCTGTGCGGCACCACGATATGCTTGGCTTTGGGTTTCATCGCCTGCGGCCTTTGCGGATGCTGGGAAGGGCGGCGTGGATACGCTCCGCTGGAGAAGGAGACGTTTGAGAAGAAGGCCTTGTACGGCATGGCGGGCAGCCTGTATTGGCTGGTCCTACCAGCTGCGATGGCATTTTTCTGCTCCCAGGCTGACTGCCAGAAGGGAGCGCCCACCGGGGCCTACGTGGTGCTGTTAGTCCTCGCGATCGTCCACATGGGCTTCGCAGCATTCACGATGAAGAGCCTGGGTGTTGCCTGGTGCGCTACCAACGGCTCCCTCCTGGACAGCACCCCGATGCTCCTCTTCTTCACTCTGTTGGACTTCGCCGACATGGGCACAGACGTACTATTCGTCGGAGTGTCAGCGGCGTGCAATGACGAGATCCAAGAGCGCTGGACGGCCGCTTGGGCGGACTCCGGTGCCTCCTTCCTGGAGCCATGTGGGGCGACTGACGTTCGGGGGAGTGGCCGCTGTGGCCTTTGTTTTCGCCACCTACGTGCCGCAGGTGATGGCCTTCTGGTCCATCTTCGTGCCCATGTTCCTTGCCTTCGCAGTCCCGTTCATCATCGCTGCTGCGCAGCTCCAGGCCCCATGGGGCTTCTTTGCAGCCTTGCTCCTACCTCTCGCCTTTGCCGCGCTGGACGGCCTGCTGAGGTGTATGGATGTCAGCGGCCTGTGGGGACTCTTCCAGAAAGTCGTCCTGAAGGATGAGGCGAAGCTGGCCCTGCACTGCGGGCACCTCGTGGCGGAGGCGAAGGTGCCCCCCGGAGACAAAAAGGTGGATCGGGCACTTTTCACGGTGCTCACAAAAGTCTTGCTTGAGAACCTCGCCCAGTCCTACCTGCAGGCCGCCTTTTTCGGCCTGAGCTTCGCATCCACGAAAGCCCCGGCAAAGGCGAAGGCCCTGGGATCCTTGGGCTTGGGCTTGGGGGCCAGCGCTGCCAAGCTGGTGCCCATGGCCATGAACCTCGTGAAGAGGGTGAAGGAGGCAGACCTCACAGTGGAAGATGCAGTGAAGGTTTTGGTGCTTGGCTTGCCCCTCCTCTTCGCCTTGATCGTCGTCGCCTGGGTGCCGGCCAAGGTCTACTTCTCCTACGTTTGTGAGTCCCATATGTGGAACCTCCTCGGAGGCTGCGTGGAGACCCAGGCCACCAGCTTAGCTTGGAGCCCAACGCCTTTCACACCGGAGGAGACGCACTAAGCCCAGGACCACCAACGGACGCAGCTTTTGTGAGACACACCTGAGAAGGACAAGACATGGAGATTCAGGCCACCAGCTGATCACAGAAAGCCTGCTTTTGGAACCCCAACTAGTTTCACACCGGAGGAGAACGCAAAGACCTCTGGACCAAGAACGGACGCAGCTTTTGAGACACGCCTGAGAAGGACATGTATGTATGCATGCACGCATGTATATGTATATGTATATGT